AAAGTTTAGATGGATGGATGTTTGTTAGAGTTTGTAGCCTAAACGAATGTAAGGATTTCGATGAAATTTGGTATAGATGTAGAGAATAGCATGGAAGAACACATAGGCTACTCACTTTTGTTTCTTTTTTATCCCACACGGACGGAGTCGCGAGCGAAAGCTAGTATGTATTAAAGATAATATTTCACTATTATTCAACATTACGGACTTAACAATATTTTTTCGACTTTATCGCTACTAACGCCCTCTGTGAGATTCTTATGGCGCCCCTTTTTATACTTCTGGAGAGGATAAACAGGACTATGAGACTGAGGCGCCCCTTAGCGCCCTGGGCGGTTTTACAACCGCGCCCTACCCTAATGTCTTGATCACCTTTTCATTAAATTAAAAATACATTTAAGTTGAATAGGATAGTTGTAAGGGACCGCTGCATTGTTACAGGAAATTAGGAAATAGGGAATATAACTGAGGATTCAATATTTATTCATGTTCAGCAACCGTAAGGGCAATATAACCTTTTTTTATGCTTCACGAGATGGTACGGACGGTGCCGTAATGCGTACCGTTCTTCGTAGTTAGGTTTTTTGAAACAGTTACTTTCCACTGCCGAAACATTCGAAATATACATCGATATTCCTGTGTATTTGAGAGTCGTTTATAGGTGCGTTTACGTGTTTTAGCTAAAATCCTTATAAAGTCTTTTATGAAACTACATCCCCTATTCCTTCCGTTTCCTAACACTGAAATAACAGTACAGCTAAAATCCGTAATTCTTTAATTAAAACGATTATTTTAAGCAACTATTATGTACTTTGTTACAAATACTATCAAATAATAACGATATATTAAAAGTAAATCCATTAGAACAAACCACATAGTAGCTTTGGTGGTTGAGGCGAGCGATGCGACTTTAAAGTTTACAAACTGCACTAAGCCCGCAACTTGAATACGTTACAATTCTTTTAGCAGTGGAAACCTACATTAATACTAAATAACATAGGCTATATTTACTGTAAAATATAAGTACATTCTGTTCTGTTGCTAACATAGTATAAGTGACTTACTAATAAATTTTTTTAAATGATTTTATGCTTGAAATATTTTTTTTTTCATATATCTTTATTTCTTATTTTCTATATAATACATTTTACAAGATTTGATATAAAAATAAAATAAAACATTTAACATAAAAAATAGAGCACCGCCGGCTGCGGAATCCGATGACTCAAGCAACCAGTGGTCAGGGCTGCAGAGACAGGAACCTCCTCACTAGTCGTGCGGTTTCTAAAATAACCGCCTTTTGAATCGGGCCCTTAATCCAACTTTCTAGCGAGAGCTTCTTGAGGTGTTGGTCGAAGCTCTCTTTTATTATTATTATATTTATATTACGTTTTAAATTTCACAATATCCTGTCAATCATAAAGATTTTTTATTTACAACAATGTATTTCCATTTACCTTTTTTATCTGATTTCAACATATTTATTAACTTATTTTCAGTCAACATTTTATAATATTATTACGTGTTCATTTAATTAAATCAATGTCCAAGTTTTTCGTCGTAGAAATCAATAAATAAACAAAGCATTAAGTAATTACAAAGACGCTAATTTTCGACTCTAACAACAACAATAATACCGTAAGGTAAGTAACTAATAGATAGTTCAGTTTTATTAAAGCGCTATATTTTGAACAAACCTTTTAACGTCAGTATATCAGTCTTTCAGGTAACCTGTCTTGTACCTAAAGCTACAATTATTAGCCGTGCCAGGTACGATAATATCTACTCAGATACAATTTAAACTTTTAAACGCAGTGCAGATTATAACTGAAGTTCTGAAAACGTTTAACTTCTGCTTAAAGATTAAGGTCACTTCCTCTATTGCTAAACTGGAGGCCTAATTTACGTCTTTACTACCCTTTTCTTATGAGAAGAGGACGGGAAGGGGAAGTATCCTCTTTTTGTGCGTCTACTCTTCTGTCGGATAAGGGTAGGCAACGCATCTACAATTGCGGATGTCTATGGGCAGCGGTCGCTTCGCCATATTGGCGGATTCAGGTGGCCGGTTGCTCGTTTGCCACCTTATGGTATATAAAAAAAACAAGCTAAAATACAACTAATGTTAATACAGATTATGCAAAAAATAAAACTAATCATAATATGTAATAAACATACATGGTCTCGTCTTAAATGTGATGTAATGCATACAATTTAAGATCATAAGTTTTGATGTGGCAACGACTAGAGTTGTAACGTGATTATTTTGTACACGAGATATTTTTTTTAATATATTGGAGACGCCATGCCTCCCTCTAGTACACCTCTGACATCCTAGTCGTCACAGACTTTGTCGTTCCTTTTATTTTTTGTTATCCTTATTATTTATTACAGTTAATATTATAAATGCAAAATTTTGGATGGATTTTTGTCAGAGATTGTAGCCTAAATGGCTTAACGGACTTCGATGAAATTTGGCATTAGATGTCGAGGATAGTCTGGAAGAACGCATTGGCAACTCAGTTTTTTTTTAATACAACGCGGCCGGAGTTGCGGGCGAAAGCTAATACATTAATAATCCTTAATCGGAAATCTTTGTTATTATTAAAAATTTTAGTGAATTTTACCTTTTTTAGAAGAGATAAGTATTATTTCAAAAATTCAAAATTAATTAAAACGATATTTTCTATAAAAGATTGTGAAAAAAGATCATTTGACATTGTTTGAACAGAGCTATAATTAGATATAATCTGTGCACTGAACGGGAATCAAAATGGCGGTCACGCAATTATGGCGGGAACAAACGATACTGAATACTGCAGCAGATGGGATTAACGGGGTTCGCATTGTATTGTAATTTTAAGTAACTAGTTTATTAATTGTTAGAATTTAAATAATTTATTTAAAATATGGTCGCGATTTTAGCCCGAATTTTAAATCGTATATTTTATTTTAACTTTTTAGCTAAAAAAAAATACATTTGAAGTGACTAGTGAAATCTACGATCGTTTTCAAGGTTAATAATAAAAAATATTTTATAAAAACCGCTTCCAAAGTACAATCCGTAATAAGTGCGGTAAATGTATATTTTCTTATATTACAATTTCTGTTAGCAATAAAGTTTGCGAATGTATTTTCTTCGCTTCAGCAAACCGCGAGCAAATGGACAAACATTTTGTGAACAGAGATAATCGACTTTTAATGTAAAACAAATTGATAAACATTTTTAGGCAAAATTTACCCAACTTTTCAGGAGTCCTGTCCCAATATTATATTTATCTAGTAAGGCCATTTACTTTTATGCTAGTCCCTTCTAAATCTTTATATTACTTGACCTTTAGGTACGGAAATAACTGTATTTTGAATAAGATGTGTACAGAAGTGCGCCATTCTCAGAAATATATGCAGAATGAATGGCGTTTGCGGCCGTGAACTGAAGCGCGGGAAACGCCTTTCACGAATGTTTTCTTTTACTATCTAGTGTCACTCGTGTTTTCTTTGCAGCCAGTTATTAATTATTTATCTGTGTTACTTTTAGACACAATTTTTTTTATTAAATTTGAAATTCTTAAAACCATGTTAATTACTTTTTATTGTGAGCATTAAATGCTCTTTCTTTAGATAAATAGTCGAAATCATAAATTTAATATCACAGTCACAAAATTGACCTAAACTGCCTTAAAATTATTTTATTTTTGTTCCTTATTTAATCTGCAGAAGTTCTTTAATTCCAAAAACAGCTCCATAATTCTTTTAACAACGCCGTAACTTTATTACAATGTGCCCAAACTTTTTATAAATAGGTATTTTAGTGAATAATTCGTGAAATTATACGGAGGCGTTCAATTATTCATCAGACAACGCAGGATACGCAATGAGATGCGAACATGAAGAGGGTGTGGGAAAGAGATGGGGAACTTATGAAACAGTTTATTAAGTCTGGAGAGCAAGAATCTTTAATAATAAAGTCAATTTTAAAGCATGGATGAACAAAGTAAGAATATATTATATTTTTAAATGTAACTTTCCTTCTGGAATATCCGAAAAGTTCTCAACAGTTCAATTGACTTTATAGTTTCTTGTTTTTTGTTTGACTCTCTAGGTTTGTACTTGAACGCATAATTGTTTTGATTGGAAACCATCAAGACGTAAAAACTCCCTCAAAATTTTTCAATGAACTATTTTTTCATCATTTTACTGTTTACTAATTTACTATTTTAAATTCAACAATTATTCCAATGCAATTTCAACATTGAATTAACTATATATCTTAAAAAAACAAAAAAAAAATCATTTCTGCTATGTTCGTTATTAAGAACACAGGTGTTTGAAATGAAGGTTTTTGCCTAAAAATATGTAACCATTCAGCGGACACTGATAATGCCATTCTATCGATTGAATCCATTTTCGTATAACTAAAGTTGATTTTTATTTGCACTAAAAGTATTCTGAATTTTAAATGACTAATTAGCTACATATTTAAGTTTTGAATAAATGTTTTTTTCTTTAAAAGAAATTAAGAGTTTTAATCAAAAGACAACTCCTGTTTGATTTTTAACACCACTGACATTTCCGACCATAAATTTCTCCACACGCTCGTTGATTCCATTTATTGCCTGATATGTGTTGGTTGTAAATATTGTTAATATATCTGCATTCTCTTCAGTTTAGTGTTATTATTTTACGCCATTTCACCTTGTAACCCTTTCAAAATTCAAAATCATTAAATTTGTGGAACTGTCCTGTAAAAACCACAAACCATTGCTTCAAAAATTTTCTCTCATACTTGAGTAAAATCTCATCCTTATCAAAATTACTAATATTTTTATGAATAATTTCTAATTAAATTTGGAAAAAGTAATGGAAAGGAAAAACAATCCAATTATTTTTATTAAAAAATTGCCAATTTTTTCTTTACAAAACAAATTAATCTCTAAAAGACACAATTACGAGATAAGGACCATCCATCTCGTCATCATTTGGGTCCGTAACAAAAAATCCGCTGCGGATGGTGATGATATTTAATCTGTTAAAGTGATATACATTTTTTTGTTAGTACGCAGAAAAAAAACCCTAAACCGTTACAGACAAGAGAGAAGCTACACCACAAACAATCGATAGAAATTACATTGCCTTTATTTGTTTTTTAAACAATTTTTGGTAGCAGCTTTAAACACTACATTGTGATTCTTGTGGTGATGATGATATGATGATCTGGCCCGTAGCTCGTCAGTTCAGCAGAGATGCATCTCGGTAAAGTTCTTCCTATCTTTAAATATGGGACCCCAAGCGCCGTAATCCTTTTTCTTTTCTTCTTGCTTTGTGGCCGGTGGAATTGCCATTGGCTTCCTGTAACATGTTAAAATTATCTTAAAGATGTCTTATATTTACTTCTTTTTATGATTATTCTACTATAAGATTAGTATCTTCTTGATGATGATATGACTTTAAGGGCCAGTCCCTCCGAATTGTATAGTGTTATGGAAATATCGGATTTTGTTACCTTATCTGACAGTGACGTCATTTTAAAGCTATTATCTGCTAGTTAGCTAGTTATCTGTACTCTTAACCTTTATTTGCAGTGATAGATTCGAAAAAGTCTATTTGAATGACATATGATTACAAAAAGAATAATTCTATTTACTATTTCTGCAGTTTTGTGTCTGATTTAAGTTGGTTTTGTCTTTTTCATTGCTACAATTCAAATTTTTCTTTTCTTTCTAAATTAAGTTATAGGTTCTTACTTGAAGGGAGCGGCGACGTCAAATTGCTTGCATGCTTGGTTAGCTCTTGAGGCGGTCTTGCAGTCGTCGCCGCGGGCCATTGCTGCTGTTAGTCTTCACTGAGTCAGTACGAGCCGATGGAGATGGGTGATGCGGTTCCTAGCTGTCTAGGGCACGTGCTGTATGTGGGTGAGCACCGCGTGTTCCAGACGGTTACCGGTGTTCGCTCGACGACTGCCTTTTCTTGTGCACAGGTTTTTAGCGAGCCTGGAATTTTAATGGAAAACAAATGAATCGCATAACAAAAGAATGTCGTCATTTAGATAAGATTTTTCAATTCATTTGTTCTTGATTCATTTGAGACATTAATTGGGTAATGTCAAATTAAGAACTGATTTGAAAAACGATGAGTTGACTAGAAAATACGTACATGGAAAGACCACAGAAAAATATCATACATTGTGAAGAGTCAGAGTAATTTGGAATCCCAAAAAAATGAAAAAAACTAGACATATTATTATGTTAAAGTAGTGAAGGTTTGTTTGAAGTCTATCTATATAGCAATTGTAATAAAATCTATGAATAAATTTAAGTTCTTGTTTTACGATGAATGTAATCAAGGAATTAATATTAGTTACAGCAATAGTGCACAATATAAACAGGGTAAGTACATAAAATGCATAAATTAGCATAATAAAGTCCTACAGCTCGTTAAGAACTGGATGGACGACATGATGCAATAGCAAATAAGTATGGCATCAGTGTTAAACGTGTATTATTGCTTTTGCAAAGGACTTCGCTGTTGTTAACTAAAATATATCTATACTTTGACACCATACACATCTACATTATTATTTTTTATCTACGTCGAAACGATTATATAAGAATTTGATTTGTTTTTTTCCATTTGGATTAATATTCTCTTTTTAGCATCGTGTTAGTGATGTTCAACATATTTAGTTATAAATTCCCTCTTTTTTTAATCTGAAATCACTTTAGTTTTAAGGAATGAGGTTATGTTATGAACTTTTATAATTTATAGGTACCGTTGAGGAAATTTATTTCCTATCCATTGAGGTAATATTAAAAACTCGTCATATATCTCTTGTTTTATGAGTTTGCTGATCAAAGTTATTATCTCCTCGTACTTATCCTACGTACTCTAGGTAAATATATCTTCCCTATCTCAGTTGTCAATTCCTTATTAATCATGACACCTTTTACGCAATCCATCCATCTCTTTCCATGTCTATCTCTACCGGTGTACCTCTACACTCATAACAAAAATTTGCTAATTTTAGAGTCCGTAGTAGTAATTATTAATTTACTTAGTATGGTCTCAACTTCAATCTCTACAATTATTTCACGTGAAATTTTTCCTAAAGTTCAGTGACTGATCTTAGTGGATTTATACATCGACCTCGTTGACCGGTCGTCAGTCGACAGTCACGCCTCACTCGCGTGTTCACTCCAGTTCACCTAGAAAACAGTTTTAACATATTCCGTTGTAAACATCCAACAACCAGTTCCGAATTAATAACAACTACGTCATATGCGCGCGCAATACTTCTGATCGAAATGTTTGGTTTTTTTACACACGTGAGAACTTTTTAAGGTGAAAGTAATAAAATAACAGTTTAAATTAAGTACGAATTTACGTTCGAAGTTAGAAATCAAGCTGGTAAAAGGCATGTCGATTTACTATTATTGCATAGGATTTTTAAAGCGAATGTAAATTGATCAGCACTCAATAAAGCAAAACATTAAAGAGTGTGATCTAGATGTACTCATTTTTTTCATTTAAAAGTCTTCAAAAGTGTTTACCATTAATGACATTATCATCTCTACATACATGTGGTGAAGAAATTGAGAAGCAAAAGGTTAGCGTGGTATGGACATATTATGCGACGAGACGATGGGTACATAAATCAGAAAGTGTTAAGAATGAATGTGGATGGCTACAAAGGAAGAGGAAGACCGAAGAAAGTATGGATGGATTGTGTGAAAGTGGATATACTTAAGAAGGGAGTAGTTTCAGATATGACGACTGATAGAGATGTATGGAAGAGCAGCACATACTGTGCCGACCCTCCGTAAGGGATAAGAGCAAGTTGATGACCATCTCTACATGCAATAAACGTAATTAACTTCTCTTCAATTAAACGTAAAATTACACACTGTTTGCTGTTTTTAAAGGAAAACAAATGTTATGCAATGTTAATTATAACCGTTTACTTTATCAAAACATAAAAAAATAGGAAACGCAAGTTACGTAACTATTTTTGCAACAGCTACGAAACACTTTGTAGAGATGCAAAAATAAGTAAAGTGACTTTCACATTTTTTACATCAAATTAAATTAATGACTGCTAAAACTGTTATTTGTTTTATCAATAACCTAAAACAACAGTTTCATTTTAACAGCTAAGACCAACAAAATCATTACAAATGTAGGTCTCCTTTCGCAAAACTTCGAAAGACACAACTAAATGTTTCTTTGCAGGCATTTTGGCGGTGAAAACCAACGAAAACATATACAGAAAAAGGTACTTTGTCATCCATACATCTCTATTAGAAGTTTTATCTATTCACTTCCTCCACACTATACGCACACTTTGGATATAGTTTCGATAACACAACAAAGAAGGGTTAAGGTTCTAATGTAAACGTATGAATCCTGAACAAGTTTAAAATTACAAAATGATTTGAACAGCCATAGGAATGTGACAATATTGTGATATAAATAAACACAAGGAGTTCGATTAATTGCAATTTGATAACATGAACTAGCAACATAGATAATTGATGAAGTTTTACATATAAACTAAGTAAGCTTTGACATTTCCTCTGTTCTTTTCCTAACTCTTTCTAAACTAAGCGAAGTCGACAGGATCTCTTTCTCTCCAATACACGGAATTGTAGATAAGAATCACGCTCTTGGGAGGAAAGTTACCATATGAGACAAAGGGTGTTATTCTTTCTGTAGCAGATTTTAATGACGATTTTAAACGTCTATACGAAGAGAAGGTAAGTAGGAGGAAGTAAGTAAAAGGTTAGCGTGGTATGGGCATTATGAGGAGGGATGAATCGCATGTTACAAGGAGAACGTTAGTTATAAGTGTGGAGGTACATCGGAAGAGGTAGACCTATAAAGAGATGGATGGATTGCGTAAAAGGTGACAAAATCAAAAAGGGAGTGATGACTGAGATGACGTATGATAGGGTTATGTGGAGGACAAAAACCAGCTGCGCCGATCCTACGGGAGTATGATAAGGAGAAAGATGATGATGATGAAACACCTATAACATAAAACGGGTCAGTTGCGTCCTAAAAATAAATATTCTCGCAAACTGGGAGTTCCTTAAATGAATTTGATAAGAGCTTGATATTCGATCAATTATATATACTAGTATTTATAAAGAGATTTTTTTTTAATTTCTGTATGTATTGAAATAACATAACCAATTAGGTCGATATAGTGTTCTTCATCTCTTTTTAGTGATTACCCTCGCTTTATTATTCTTCTAACCACTTTTATCATGATTGACTACTGCAGTTTTTCCCTTTATGCACTAGCTTTCGCGACTCAGTACGCGTTGAATTAAAAAAAAATCAGAAGGAAGTAGCATATATGTTCTTCCAGACTATAGTCTACATCCATGATTAATTACATCGAGATCTGTTCAACATGTATCTTAATACTAGTAATATAATAATCAACTTTAACGTTTATGCACAACAATATAATATTTCTTCTTCTTTAGATAATTGTTTTGTAAAAAGTTATAAGTGATTCGTGTTGTATAGATCTTGTCTCAGTCTTCTATTTGATGTCCTAGAAACTTAAGTTATATAAAATTCAACTAAATAGCATTACAATAGTATCTTATTTATTAAGTTAAAAGTTACTTTTAGGTTAAGAATAAGATGTTATTTTTGTAAAAGTTTATCCTTAATAGTCATAATGTCTTGAACAAAAGAGATTTATATAAAAGTGCAATGTGCTTTAGTGAAAACTGGTTCGACAACCACGAACCTATCACATGATACAAGAAACCAGTGCAACTAACCTGGGTAAAAATTTGTCGGTGATCGCGAATTTTCTCTTCGATTTTGTCATTGACACCCAATAATTTCTATAGGAAAAATTTCAAAAAAAAACACTCCGAAAATGTTCAGAATTTAGCTGCCGATTAGTGCGCGAGCCGAATACTAACTGACACCGGTTGTGCGAGGCTTGCATTTATGTACACCAAAGGAACTGGCCGGTAACTTGTTTGGATATACACATACGTCGACGATATAATTAATTCTATGACGGATTTTTCCTCCAAATTCAACATTTCACCTTTTGCATCACATTTCGTTTAATAGGATTTTAAATTGAAGTATTTTAAATATAATTCCATATTCAGCTGTAAAACCCCTTCTTGGATATTCGTATCGTTGTTAATATATTTTTAACTAGATCATAACGTCCACATGGAATAGAAAAAAGTAAAAATCATAGCCTATGTTACTCAGCGATAAGTTAATTTTTAAACGGTGAAAGATTGTATTAAATCGGTCCAATAGTTTTTGCGTTATTTCAATATATACAGAGATCCAAAAAAAAAAACAAATCTTTCTTTTTTATAATACTAGTATACTCGTTGATAATTAATCGAATATCAAGCTCGTATCAAATTCATTTAAGGAACTCTCAGTGCGAAAACATTTAAATTTAGGGCGCAACTGACCCGTTTTATGCTACTTCTTTTTGCCATCATCTCTCTGTACTTATCCAACTTAAGTAAACTCAGCGCACCTTTTGTCCTCTAAGTAAATCTATCTTCCGTCATCTCAGTCATCACTCCGTTCTTGATGTCACCTTTCACGCATTCCATCTCTTCCTAAGCCTACCTGTACTAGTATACCCCTCCACACTCATAACATAAGTTCACTTACATTACTTGTTGGTGCTTGCGACTTTGTCCGCGTCAAATCAAAAAATAATAAAAAACATACCCTATGTTAGTCATTGATAACGTTGCTTTTTTATAGTGAAAGAGTTTTGGAAATCGGCCCAGTAGTTTTTGAGTTATTTCAATTCATACAAAAATATAAATCTTTTCTCTGTATAGCAGCATAGATATGACTAGTACTTTGTAGTTGTAGTTGTAATCAATTATTGGGTTTCAATAAATTTACTATTTAGACCACCATAACATTTATTTAGTTGAATATACTTAGGTAATAATATCGTTTTTAACCTTAATTTTAACAGAGAAGTTAAAACAAGGTCATGGAGAAATGTTATTGAATTTAAATTACAATGTCTTGATAACTAATTTCCGTATTGTTATTGATCCAATTCGTAAACCTTGCTCTTGCTATCTTTCTTAAAGTTTTTTGGGTATTAAGTGGGTAAGGTCCTTCCTGAAAATAGATTTTTCATCTACTCTAAGAAAGTCCACTTAGTGATTCTGGTTGAATGGTCATTGGCGCCTCGTATTATTCTCAATTGATGAGAATAAAAAGTTTCATCTGTCCCACCTTTTGTGACGAAGGGACGGTTGGAATATATTTGATTTCATAACTGTTTCATCTGTCACCTTATTGGTGATAGTGGGACTAAAAGTGAAAAGTGGAGATAGAGCGGGGTGACAGTTGGGAATAAACCGGCGCCTCGGTCACACTCTGCCAGTTATTTGACGGCTTCAATCAGTAACGGCCAAGTGTGAACCGTGCATTATATCTGACTAGTCTTCTACTATGCAGATTGTTATAGAATATAGAGATGTTTTCAAAACGTTTGAAACGCACACACGTGCCTCACGTCACGTAGTTGGCTGCCGCGTCCTATATCACATTGAACAGGTATATGTTAAATCATAAAATACATATAATTAGAAACATTTGCATTCTTGTTCCACCAGTTAGATGTAATTGCAATGTAAAGGACGCAGCCTTGGATTCATTTTATTGTACAATTGCAGAAATATGTGGTTACAAAATGCAAAATGATATATCTTTTCTCTCAATCTACTCTCTCTCCCCAATGTCTTTCTTCTTTTCTTTTTTTTACCAAACGTAAACTGCAAATTCCATGAGGGTCTATTACGAGTATTAGCGTGACAGTTGCGAGAACGTATTCGTTACGTTATCGACAAAGTATGTTTGTTGGTGTAGTTTTCATCCGGTAGAGGCGCTGATTACAACAATCTCACGACTATTATACTAATACTTACTTAATATTATAAATGCGAAAGTTTAAATGGATGGATGGATGGATAGATGGATGTTTGTTACAGTTTGTAGCCTAAACTGCTAAACGGATCTCAATGAAAGTTGACATATACATATGTAGAAGATAGTCTGAAAGAACACATAGGCTACTTACTATTGTGTTTTTTTATTCCACGCGGACGGAGTCGCGGGCGAAAACTAGTTAGAAATAAGCCTTGGTTGTTGCTGATTTGAATATAGGAATATTGGGGTAAAATTAATTCATTACGATTTTGTTTTTTTTTTAGCTCACCGCATCATCATGGCCCCACCGACCCTCGGGTCATACGGGCCGAATCGCGGGAGGGGCGCGCGGTTTGGCCGGTTTCGGCTCCGCACGCACCTTCTTGACTCCCTACAAGTTATTTCGTCCGTTCCTTAGTGTTGAGTCACTCTCCCCCTAATGGGCATGACGAAACATGAACACCATCGCCATCCACTCCAGCGCCTATTCTAGCCTGCAACTTCGATGATGCCATCGATGCGCGAACTCACGCAGCCTAGCATAGTTCGCCCCGTTGTTGACAAGATCCAGATAGAAGATATATCGGACCCGGATCCCGCCGAGTAATCCCATCCATCATCTTCATTCTCAGGTCTGCATACTGAGGACACTCCCGCAGAACGTGATGAGCATCCTCCTCATCCTCACCGATTTTTCATCATCATTACGATTATTAGATGTTTTATATTACACAAGGACTTGTATTTGACAAGTTCTTTTATTCCGTAAGTATCGAAGTTTCAAGTTCATAGGATGAGCTGATATAAAATGACATTGCTACAATTACAAGGAAGGCTAAACAGTTTAAATAACGTTTATTGTACACTTGACTAAAAAAACATTGCAAAAAATGTAACTACATATATGATGCTAACTATACAGCGTGATATTTTTTTACTGTTTTAGATTTTTTCATTTTGGAGACTGATTACTTAAATAACTTATAAAAATATAGTTATTTTGTTTTTTCCTGTTAGGAAGTTAGAAATTTGCAAATTAAAAATATATTAAGGCCGACTATAGTTGTGTTGACGATAGAACATATGTAAAAATAAATTTCCGGTTTTACGTATCAACTAAATCAATATTTTTTTTCCTAATTCTGAATTTATTGAGGAAAATATTGGTATTAATTTGGAATGACCAAAAAAAATTGTAGGCCAAAAAAATAACATTTTATTGTTTTATCGCTTATTTTTATTTATTTATTTTATTTATTGATTATAAATACAGTACAATATCGTCTTCTTTTCCTTCAGGTTCTTAAACCTTTTGGTTTGTGAGAACCCTGCACATTCTCGTTGGGTAGTTACATTTTTTTTTTGCATGCGACATTGGTAGTGCCCGCTTTAACATGTTAGCACTGCAGGGCCGGCACGCCCCCAGTAATACCACGACCACACAGAAGACAGGCGTCAAATGGAAGCAATTCCGTGTTTCGTCTGATGTGAGTGTGGTGCCGGAGACCTAATTTAAGTCCCTTTCCCTTTACCACCCTTTTCTTATAAAGAGAGGTTGGGAAGAGGAAGTGGATTTGACGGTGGAGGAGATGCATAGGAAGAGGAAATATCCTCTTTATGTGCGTCTCCTCCTCCGTCGGATAAGGGTAGGCAACGCATCTGCAATTGCGGATGTCTGTGGGCAGCGGTCGCTTCGCCATTTTGGCGATTTCAGGTGGCCGCTTGCTCGTTTGCCACCTTATGTTATAAAAAAAAATGCGACAGATACGGCTTACACGTCATGCATAAACTATGGAGTTGAGACATTATAATTTATGAATGCAATAAATGTGATGCATGTTATAAACTTATATATATTATTCAGTGTAAGGCTTAATGATAATATTTTCATTTCTATTCTTCCTTGTTCTGTACATCCATTCCATTAAAAGTACTGCAAAAGCTATGATAATACCTGAAATATTAAATAAGAAACTATATATATATCATATAAACTCTAAAACTATCGCATTTATTTTAAACATTATTTCTATCAACAGTAGTTTTTAGTTTGTAAGTAAGTTTTTCTCTAAATTACATTGGTACAGATAATAAAGAAAGTACGTAAATCACATTTAACGGTAGAGCCCGCTTTAACATCGTCACACTAATGAGCCGGCTCGCCCCCAGTAATACCACGACCACACAGAAAACAGGCGTGAAGTGGAAGCAATTCCGCATACAGTCTGATGAGTGTGTCGGAGGCCTCATTTTAGTCCCTTTTCCTTTCCACTCTTTTCTTAAGGAAAGGAAAAGTGGATTTCACGGTAGAGGAGATGCATATGAAGGGGTAATGTTCTCTTATGTGCGTCTCCTCCTCCGTCAATGAAGGGACAACGCATCTGCAATTGCGGATTGTTTATGGGCAGCGGTCGCTTTCCATGTCGGTGGATTCAGGTGGCCGCTTGCTCGTTTGCCACCTTATATTATAAAAAAAAATCAATAACTATGTAGAATTCATAAATAATTATAAAAAAACTACATTTCGCCAGGAACTCCATACACGAGGAATTTAGAAAAGCAGGTAGCCTATGTTTTCTTCCAGACTATCCTCTTCATCTTTGCAAAATTTCATCGACATCCATTCAGCAGTTAAGATACAAACTTTAAAAAATATCTATCCAAAAGCATTTATAATATTAGTAAAATTACCAAGAAATAGCACAAAGAAAGATCCCTGCATGTCTCTTAAATTGACTGTGTGGTTGTCGATCTCTTGCGAAGTGATGGTGGTCTTCCAGCAGCGGTCGCGCTTCGGCAAATAGTTACTCAACCATTTAGTTATTAGACCGGCTTTATGCATACGATATATCCTATAATATACAATATCAATATTAAAAACTAGCTTTCGCCCGCGACTCCGTCCGCGTGGAATTAAAAAATATTGTAAAATATACCATATGTTCACAGATAAATTACCTTTGTAAGGGTGAAAGTATTTTTTAAAATCCGCCCATTAGTTTTTGAGCCTATTGATTACAATCAAACAAAGTTTGTCTCTTTATAATATTTGCAGAGATAACACAGAACAGTAAAGGACAGATCTGTTAAGACACTACGAACATATAATCACTATAACAAAAGAGAAATGAAATAAGGTAATAACCTGAATAACAATGGATGGCAACAGTGTGGGAGAATTTGAAAAAGCCTGAGACTTGAAAATGATTTATATTATCAAGCTTGTTAGACCTACAGTAGCGCCACAGTGATCAAAGTAAACTTGACAAAAACTTACTCTTTGTTGAAAACAGGAAGGTAAGGACTACCAGCAGGAACAATCATGGCCACTTTTTCATACATAAACTCTTCCGCACCTAAATAATTAATAAAAAGAAATGCGAAATGCTCAATACAAGGAAATACTTGTAAAAACATTTGTTTTATTACGAGACAATAAGAAGTAAAACTATAAACCATAGAGTTACATAGTTCGTTTGTGACTTAACTAGCTTTACCCAGCGTTTCCTTTCGCGTTAAATTAAAAAGTAAATAGCCTATGTGTTCATCCAGATTATCCTCTACATCTGTGCCAAACATCAATATTAAACAGTTTAGGCTACAAACTCTAACAAACATCAATCTTAACTTTCGCATTTATAATATTAGTAAGAAGTAAGGTTATAAAAGGTAATTTACAAAGTGCTTACTAATGGTAAAATCGCATCTGTCAGTGTCGAGCGTGGCCGCGCGCATCACATAGCTCAGTCGCATCTTCCAGTCTATTATTACATGCCTTTGTTTACGAACTCGATTTAATATCGATTTATCTAAAACAGACAAATGCCATTAACTCGTATCGATAGTGCTGATTGTGTTTTAAACAAAACCAATTAACTAACAAACCAGAAATTAACAAGGAATTAAATATTTGTAATACCGAAAAAACATTGTCAAAATCTGTACCAAAGTACCAAGTAGATTGCAATTGAGGTATTTAACAATAGCTGTTGCTCGCGACTTCGCCTGCATGTATTTAAAACATAGCCTATGTTATTCACAGATAAATTACCTTTCTAACGGTGAAAGAATTTCATTAAAATCGGCCCAGTAGTTTTTGAGTTATTATAATACATACAAAAATACAAATCTTTGTATGTATTATAATAACGTGTTGTATAATAACACGTTTACGTGGACTTAAAAAAATAAAAGTAAGTAGCATATGTGTTCTTCCAGACTATCCTCTATATCTATGTCAAATTTCACCGAAATACTTAAGCCTTTTAGGCTACAAACTCTAACACACATCTATCGACACTTTTGCATTAATAATATTAGTAAGATAGTACAGATATACCTGAACGATGTTTACTTTCCACACTGCCAGTGGACGACAATAATTCAGCGCCTTTCAGCAAAGAAATGTATTTGGGCTCATCCGAGTTCTAAAGAATTATATTTAAAAGTTTTAGTATGGAAAAAAACCAATTCACATTAAAAGCGGGCGCAAACATTTGACTAAATTATCGCAAAACTATTGTGGGATTGTCGATTGTTTCAACTGTTTGCACAACAAAAAAATGAGTAGTGTGCGCACTTCCATATAAGCTCGCAGGAAGCGAGACTAAACAGTTCTGCGATAGTTTAGTCCAAAGTGTGCGAGCAATAATTCTAACCTTTAATTCCATTTCTAAATAAGATCCCTTATTAATAGACCATGTGTATACATCCTTATTTTGGAGTAGTTCGGTCACTGTAGTGACAGGTACCTCCTGTTTAGGAAATGTGAGGAAAGCAACCAAATTGCCAGAATATGTGGTGACCACAACTAACACAACTAACCACCAAGTTCCGACAACTAGACGACCACTGTCCGCTCGAGGGAGATACATACCACCTAAAAAATATTATACTTCAATGCTAATACCACAGAAAAAAAAATGTTCGTATCATACATTCGATAACATCGTTCTATCTTCAAACAAAAGCTTTATTTGTTATTTGTTTATCTTTTTTATTAAACAATAAAAATGCAGCAAAAGAAATATTATGCGTGCTATGATTGGCACATTGTTATTTTTAATTTTCTACTAGCTGTTTCTCGCGATTTCGCCCGCATGAAATTAAAAAAATATTGCCTATGTCAGTCACAGATAAATTACCTTTCTAATGGTGAAAGAATTTTTAAAATATCCCAAGTAGTTTTTTAATTATTTCAATACATACAAAAAAACAAATCTTTCCTCTTTATAATATTAGTAAAGATAAAACACACTTTTGCTAAAAATCGTAAAATGGAACCTTGCAAACGCCGCGTTGGTTTGTCCGGGGGTTACTTCGTCAGGTGTTTTTATTTAAATTTTTCAGAACAATGTTATTATTATACAAATTTCTTTACGTCTATCCTAGTACCAACCTTGTTGCAACAACGCGCCATAAATATACCATAAACAATTATGTATTGTTGACAAACCACCTTGGCGAGTTATCTTCATGGCTTCATAATACGGGCTGAGACGATGAACAACATACAAAGTGGGCCCCATTAGTACTACTGCGAAACCTAAACATAACCATGTCTGAAAAAAAACATAATATTAATAGATCTAAACAAGCAATTACTTTTAATTTATTTATCAACTAGCTTTCCCCATGACTTCGTTCGCGTGGAATTAAAAAAAAAGTAGCCTATTCCAAACTATACTGTACACTCCAAATGTCATCGAAATCCATTCAGCCGTTTAGGTTACAAAATCTAACAAACGTCCATATATCGAAATTTTCACATATTAGTAAGATAGTTTTAGTACTTACGTCAGCAGTGAAAGGCAATAGGAACAGCATAGCCCGGCTGAGTTCCCGCGGCCGCGCGATCAGAAACGCGTACGGCTGCGTGCTCACAGCCAGCGTCCAGTTTATACCTAGGAATAAAACATTAACTGTAACATAGTATCCTAATTGACTCTTAAGAATTCTTAAAATAAAACAATCTACAATTAAACTTATAGCCGGTTTTCCAGCTAAATATAATAATTTGTTAGTTTGGTACATTGTCATGAAATCCGTTTTCGAACTTCGTAACATTGTATTTAACTCTGTTTTTACTTAGGTCAACGTAATAAATAAATGAAAATTCATCAACTCAACAACGAGAAAAAACTAGAGGTCAAATAACGCAGTATACTAAATGCGTAGCTATTTCATAACGAATAGGAAACCTGGCATAAGTTACCTGTCATGGTGTCAGTGAAGACGCTGAAGGCGGCCGCGCCCAGCGCAGCTTGACCCTTCGCAATAGCTGACATTGACAGTTTGCTATTTTCACTGTGGATCATCTACAAAATTTTAAGGGTGATTTTCATACTTATGATTAAAATTAATTAAATTGGACAAAGAGATTCTATTCTATTCACTATAAGGTTTAAACTGTAAAGAAAATCACTATTGTGCTAGGATTGGTACAACACTATGGTATTTCATTAGCATACGTCCCGTCCCTATCTAATTTTAGGCTTAATTTTAGTCCTTTTCCCTTCCCACCCATTTCTTAAGAGGAAAGGATGGGAAGGAAAAGTGGACTTGACGATAGAGGAGGCGCATAGGAAGTGGAAATATCCCCTTTATTTGCGTCTACTCCGTCAATTAAGAGGCAACGCATCTGCAATTGTGTATGTGCAGCGCTCGCTTTCCATTTCGGTGGATTCAGATGGCCGCTTGCTCGTTTGCCAAATTACAATATAAAAAAATCTGACAGCTGTCAATGTCATTCAGACATATTGGATTAGCGCGCCATTCCGGAAGTTAGTAGTTTGAGTGTAGAAATTAATTACGATGTTACAATAATATTACTGTCGAATACGTACGTCTAAAGATGTGTTCTTATAATTCTGTTTGAAATTATTTGCCAGTAGAAGTCGAATCCTAAAAAAGAGATATACCAAAGAATTAAGCGTTACATAATTGAATAAATGTTTTTAATAGATAATATTTACGTAAAATTCTTGTTTCTTGCAAGCTGTTTGACAATATCAAAAATAAGTCCGCCGTAACTGACGACAGCTCCTGATTCGTTCATCTGCAGGATTGTCCATGGCGGGTTCTGAAGATAATAATGTATATTATAAAGAGTATACTAATATTAGTTATAAAGAGGAAAGATTTGTATTTTTGCAATTATTGAAATAACTCAAAAACTACTAGGCTGATATCAAAATTCCTTTACCATTAGAAAGCTATGTTATCGCTAAGTAACACAGGCTTTTTATTATTTTTTTAATTTCACGCAAGCAATAGGTAGTAATAACTAAATTAACAGAGAAAAGAAAGTTAATAATTAGGTATAATATGTATTTTAGTTTCAGATTAAAAAAACATAAAACCTTTCCTGCATACTTCCATATCTACATCCACTACCTTTTACAACTATCTTTTATTCTAACGCACTCTTTCTATTCATAATCTATCAGTACTTTCTTCTGCCATCCTCTACCTTTATGGCAATTTCACCTTATTAATTTCTTGGATATTGTAAACGTGTTTTAATGTTTCTCACATGATATGTAACAATAGGTAGCTCCTTCCCTCGGAAGCCATGCGCCACGTGAGGGAACAGAACATCGTTGAACTTGACGCCATCCGCCGCCCGCCAACTGCCAACCTTTCAACATTAGTGTGAGTGAGACAGACTACCCATCTTGTTTCTCGCTCGTGTAACAAAACATACAAGGTCATGCTTGATTGATTTTAGATCTTAAACTTTTCGTTTCAAATATCTATTTTGAATACGTCGTATCAAAACTGTTCAAATTCGATGAGTATTTAAAACTTACTTGCAACATTTTGACCTCCTCTATGACACCCTTGGTGTTATTATCTTCGGAGATCGCGGTATCAGCTTGTCGATAAGTTGCACCCCAAGTATCCGCTGCCATCGCCCGCCATCTCGTACAGTTCCCACATCTGCTGTTTACTTGCATATGTTGCTAAAATACCAACAGCGGACACACAACTATAAATCGAATCAACTAAAAAGCTCATAATAATCGAAGCGAGACTGAACAGTAGTGCGATAGTTTAGTCGAAGATATGCGCGCCCTAAGTATCAAGGTCGATGCCATCCTTCTGTTTTACCAACCTGTATGTGTTTCAAGAGATCGTTTCTTCGTTGCAACTTCGTTGGTCTGATCGCTTCCCACTCCTCGTCGGACACTTGAGCTGCAATATCGAACTCATCCTGCACCGCGGAGTCCAGAGCAGATATGAAAGCCTTCATCATTTCTTGAGAGTAGCACATCAAACCGTTCTAAAACAACGCAATGATTGAAGCAAGATAAAGGCAAGAGGTTATCTTTTTTTTTATTACATCAGGAGGCAAAGGAGCATGCGACCTCCTGAATTCGTTGCCCTTAATCATGCACATAAAGAGGACATTTCCCCTTCCTATGCGTCTCATCCACCGTCATATCCAATTTTACTTCCCATCCATTTCGTATAAGAAAATGGTGGGGAAAGGAACTAAAATCAAACCTTAGGCTCCACACTCATCAGACGAAACGCGAAAGTGCTTCCACTTCACGTCTGACGTCTGTCTTCTGTGTGGTCGTGGTAGTACTGTGGGCGAGCCGGCCCTACAGTGCGACCTTGTTAAAGCAGGCTCTACAACTATTCTTTTACATACTAATATTTTTATATATAGTGCGAAAGTTTGTATGAATGGATGGATGGATGTTTGTCAGAGTTCGTAGCTTAAACTTCTGAACGTATGTCGATGAAATTTAAAATAGATGTAGAGCATAGTTTGAAAGAACACATAGGCTACTCACTTTTGTTTTTTAATTCCACGCGGGCGGAAGCTAGTCTAAAATCAATATTCATACCTTACAATCCATACTATTATCAGTAACATTATAGATGTAGGCAACATTTTCTCCTTCATAGAGGATATCAATAGCGGCTGCAAGGTCGCTGCTTTGAGCGCTGGTGTCCGCCACCACGTACAGCCACTGCGCCTGCCCGTGCGACAGCATCAGCTCACGAGCTGTGTCTGCTATAGCCAACATCACTTCTAAAGTCACCACCGCTATGAAGTTTTCACCTACAATATCAAGTTCAAAAGTAAACTCGTCTTCTAATGTCTTTTCTAAAGTCTTCTACATCGTTACCCGAAGATTGTAATTTTTTTTCCATTCAAAACATTCGTACCAATTTTTTTAACCGGCAATTTGGATAATACTCGTCGTATCTCCTTCTTCCTTAAATATTCGTTGACTTCGTGCTTCATCTTGTATACAGACACCGAGACCGAGGACACCTTTTCGTCGTCTATTTGCCGTGTCAGGGACTGCACCACGCGAGATATCGTATCCCTGTCTATCAGGTAACAATTAGATCTATGTCTTATGTGAATTCTTTTATAACACCTTAGGTTCCTAAAGTAATTGTTGCGTCTATTAATGAGAAACCACTGCGAGAGACATCCTTATCTTCTTAGATCTTAAGCCACTCCTCGTCTATACTAATATTATAAAGAGGAAAGATTTGTATTTTTGTATGTATTGAAATAACTCAAAAACTACTGGGCCGATTTCAAAAATTCTTTCGCCATTAAAAAGCTACGTTATCAGTGAGTAACGTAGGCTATATTTTTTTATTTCTCGCTGGAAAGTCATAAGCAACAGTACCTTGTAATATCCAAATGTCAATCTATGTCAATTCCTACATGAACTGCTACGGGTAATCTCTTTAGGTTAAATTTGATTGTACTTACATTGTTCATAATATAAAATAGTTATATTAATTAACCTAAAGGTAATATGGGTAAATAAGTTAACATGGTATCGGCATGTTATGAGAAAGGATGAATCGCATGGTACAAAGAGAACGTTAGCTACACCGGTAGAGGTAGACCTAGAAAGAGATGGATTGCGTGAAAGGTGACATGAAGAAGGGAGTGATGACTGAGATGACAAATGATAAGGTAGGGGAGAAGAATTCATCTTCAGCCCATACTTAAGGTAGCATCATGTAGTATGATGGCGGATTTCCAGTCGAACGCTTTCGTCGTCCTCATATCCAGCATTAGCTGGGCCAACTCCTGGCCCGGCTCGGTGTAAGTAACTGTCATCGCTCTGTCCACCGGCAGCCGAGGACAATCGACTTCTGTCAATGCGAACAGCAGAAGCTCTTCCTCTTCGGTCCTCGAGAATAAAGACCACGTGTCCTCGCAAGACGCTACACTGAAGACTGCGATAAATCCTGCGAAATCAAAATTACATTTGAATGCAAATAAGCAACCGTAAATCAATTCTATTTGAGCTAATGGAGGTAATTAGATTTAGAGCCGGCGCACACCTTTGATTAAACTATCGCAAAACTGTTGTGCGATTGGCGATTGTTTCGCAGCCAATTCATTAGTTACATAACTAAAAATCGAGTAGTGTGCGCACCTTTAGCGAGCGTTCGCACGGACGCGAAAACGCTAGGCGGTAACTAT